TCCTGCATAAGGCCAGCCCATAAAGACAGGAGAGGTAGCTGTTTTCTGTAATGCACAGATACCAAGACAGCAAGTTAAGAAAAATGAAGGAACAGGTAAACATATCGTAAAGAAAGGGGGAGGGGGAACAACACTGATGAAATGAAGATGTATAATTTATTTGACAGAGAATTTAAAATAACTATCATGAAGATGCTCAGTGAAGACAGGAGAAAAATACATAAACAAAGTGAAATTTTCAACAAAGAGATAGAAATATTTTTTAAGTGAAATATAAATTTTGGAGCTGGATAATCCAATAACTAAGCTGAAAATTCAGTAGATGGGTTCAACAGCAGACTATGTCAACCAAAAGACAGGATCAGCAAACTTGAAGATAGGTCATTGGAAATTATACAAACATAGGAGCTAAAAGAAAAAACAAGATTTTCAAAAAGTGAAAAAGCTTAAAGGACTTATGAAACACCATAACACAGGCAGACCAATATACATCTGAGAGTAGTCCAAGAGAAAAACAGAAAGGTTATTCAAAGAAATAATGCCCTAAACTTACCAAATCTAAGGAAAGAAATGGACATACATATCCAGAAGACCAACAAATTCCAAAAGCCAGAAACCCAAAGAAATATACGCCAAGACACCTTACAATGAAATTGTCAAAAGTTCAAGATAAACAGGGAATTTTGAGAGCAGCAAGATGAAAATGACTTTTTGTGTTCAAAGGAACCTCCATCATACTTTCAGTGGATTTCCCAGCAGAAACGTTGAAGGCCAGAAAGGACTAGAATGATATATAGTCATGCATCACTTACTGACAGTGAGATGTTTGGAGAAATAAATTATTAGGCAGTTTTTTCATTGAGCAAATATCATAGAGTGTACTTACACAAACCTAGATGGTGTGACCTATACACACTTTAGTTATATGTCATAGCTTATTGTTCTGAGGCTACAAACCTGTACAGCCTGTTACTGTACTAAATACTGTAGGCAATTATAACATGATAGTAAGTATTTTTATATCTAAATGTAGAAAAGTTACAGTAAAAATATTATATAAAGGTTAGCAAATAGCATATCTATATAAGGCACTTACTGTGAAAGGAGCTTGCAAGACTAGAAGTTGCTCTAAGTGAGTCAGCAAGTGAGTAGTGAGTAAATATGACAGCTTAGGACATTATCATAAACTACCACAAACTTTATAAACATTGTACTCTTAGGCTACAATACATTTGTATTATAAAAAAATTCTTTCTTCAATAATTAATTAACTTTAACTTATTGTAAATTTTTTATTGTATAAACATTTTTATTAAATTTTCCTTTGACTCATAATAGCAGCTGAAAACACAAACACTCTACAAAAATATTTTCTTTATGTCTTATTCCATAAGCCTTTTTCTATTTTTTGTACTTTTTGAACTGATGTTACAGAAATAAAAAGGATAATATTAGACTGCTATAAACCAACAAATTGAATAACCTAGAAGAAACAGATAGATTCCTAGATACAAGCTATCTACCATGACTGAATCATAGAGAAATAGAAAATGTGAACAGACCTATAACTAATAAGAAAATTGGTTATAATATGAAACCTCCACAAATAAAAGCCCAGGTCCAGATAGGTTCACTAGTGAATTCTATCAAACATTTAAATACGTAATTCCCATTCTTCTTAAACTCCTTCAAAAAATTGAAGGGGAAGAAACACCTCCAAACACATTTTCCGAAGCCAGCATTGCCCTGATACCAAAGTTAAACAATGACATTATAAGGAAAGAAAACTACAGGGCAATATTCTTAATGAATATAGATTCATTCATAATTCGTTTAGACAAAATTCAACACCCTTTCATAACAACAATTTTTACTAACTAGTAATAAAAGGACATTACGCCAACATAATAAGGCCTTATATGGAAATCTCTTACCTAACATGATACTTAATGATAAAAAATTAGAAAACTTTTCCTCTAAGATGAGGAGCAAGAGCAAGACAAGCATGCCCAATCTCACCGCTTCTTTTCAACATAGTGCAGGAAGTCCTAGCCAGAGCAATTAGGAAAATAAATAAATAAAATCTAAACTGGAATAAAAATAGTTTTATCTCTGTTTGAAGATGACATGATCTTATAAATAAAAAGATTCTAAAGACTACACACAGACACACACATACACACACACACAAAGTGTAAGAACTAATTTACAAATTCAGCAAAGTTGTAGGATACAAAATCAACATTAAAAACCAGTTGTATTCATATGCACTAATCACAAACTATTCAAAAAGAAAAGTAAAAAGTAAACTAATTTACAATAGCATCAAAAAGAATAAAACACTTAGGAATAAACTAAAGAAATGAAAGACTTGTACACTGAAAACTATAAAACATTGATTAAATGTTTAAACATTGATTAAAGAAATTAAAGAAGATAAAAGTACATCAAAAGGCATCCTGTTTTTGTGGGTTGAAAGATTTAATATTGTCAAAAAGTCCATACTACCCAAAGTAGTCTATGGGTTGACTATCAAAGTTCCAATGACTTTTTTTTTTTTAACAGAAATGGAAAAACAAATTTAAAATTCAAAGGAAACTACAAAGGACCCTGGCTAGCCAAAAATGATCAAGAACAAAGTTGGGAGTATCATTCTTCCTCATTTTAAAACATACTACAAAGCTACAGTAATTAAAAGAACATGGTACTGTACTGGTATAAAGACATACATAAAGACCAATAGAACAGAATATACAGCTCAGCAATAAACCCATGAATTTATGAAAAACTGATCTTCAGCAAGGGTACCAAGAATACAATGAGGAAAGGGTAGTCTCTTAAATAAATGATGTTTAAAAACTAGATATCCATATGCAAAAGAATGACATTGGACTTGCTTGTTACATTGCACAAAAACCAACTCAAAATGGACTGAAGACTTATATATAAGACCTGAAACAGTAAAATTCCTGCAAGAAAACATAAAAGAACATTTCTTGACATTGGTTTTAACAATGATTTCTTAGCTTTTGTCACCAAAACCACAGATGACAACAGCAGAAATAAACAAGTGGGGCTATGTCAGATGAAAAAGCCTCTTCACAGCAAAAGGAACAACAGAGTGAAAAGGCAACCCATGGAATGGCAGAAAATGTTTTTAAACTATACATCTGGTAAGGGATGAATATCCAAAATACATAAAGCACTCTCATAACTCAGTAACAAGGAAACAACTCAACAAAAATCAGGATCTCAATGAGATACTTGTATTCCTCTGTTTATTGTAGCATTATTTTATAAAAGTCAAGAGGTGGAAGCAACCCAAGTGTCTATTGACAGATTAACAGATAAAGAAAATATGGGATACACATACAATATTGTTCAGCTTTATAAAACAGAAAAATATTGCCATTGCGACAATATGGGTGAACCTGAAAGAAATTTTGCTAAGTGAAATAAGACAGTCACAGAAAGACAAATATAATATGAATGCCTCTACTTTCGTGAGGCATCTACAATAGCCAAATTTATAGAAGCAGATAGTAGTATGGTGGTTGCTGGAGAGTTGGGGAGTTGCTATTCAATGTGTATAAAGTTTCAGTTCATGAAAGACTAATAAATTTGAAGAGATCTGTTAACCTACAATTAACAATACTGTATTGTCCCCTTTAAAATTTGTTAATAAATAGATCCCATGTTAATTGTTTTTAACACAATAAAAATAAAATTTAAAAACATATTTAGGATGATCATGAGGAAGATTTTTGAACATTGTCAGTCATCAAATTATGGAATAATTTCCCAAGGGAAATGTGAAAAAATGCCATCATTGAAGACATTTTAAACCAGACTGAAGAAAAACACAAGCGCATAAAGTTAGCCTTGTTCTTCTGCCTACATGGATGACAAGGCCCAAACATGATCTAAGACACCATTAGATTCTACAGCCAATGAGCACCCTCTTGCCACCCACTACTGTGAGGAATGAAAGAGGAAAATTTGGCTGGAACTGATGACTCACATCAGGAAGACTTGCTCAGTGTGTTCCTGGCTCTGTTACAACTTCCCAAGGGTGCTAGGAAAGGAGCAGTTTTCACCAAGTCACCATAGTCCCAGCTCATAGAAGTTTCCAGGGAATACAGTAGGCTCTTCTCCACTGCAGATAGTAATATGGTGCTTTTTTAATTGGCCTGTGTTTTGTTTGGTTTTGTTTTTTTAAGTCAGAAATAACCTCTGTAGAAGACCAGACCATATAATCTATACAGAACAGCATAACCTTAGACCAGGGGTCAGCAAACTGTAATCCAAGGATCAGATCTGACCCACAGCCTATTTCTCTAACTAAAGTTTGATTGGGACAGAGGCAAGTCTATTCATTTGCATAGTGTCTATGACTGCTTTCACAGTACAGTGGCAGTGTTGACTCCTTGTGACAAAGACTTCATAACCTACAAAGCCTAAAACCCTTATTACTTAACCCTTTACTTAGGCCAACTCCTGCCTTAAACTGATAACTTTGAGAAAACTAATTCAAGCATCTACAAGCTAAAATATGCAAAATTCTTGCCTTCTCCCCTTCTCTTAACTATGATAGAAAAGAAACAAGGAATTTAACTTTGAATAGAATATGTCAGCTTTTCATGGATCCAGTCCAAGATATCACATGCTAGAGTCTGGAGCATGCATCTGTGACCCAAAATACAGTTGGGTGGAGGCACTAGAATCAGAAAGACCTGAGTGTGAATTCCAGATTTGATATTTTCCAGCTGTATGACCTTTGGCAAGATACTTAATCTTTGTCGGTTTTTCCTTGAAATAAAATAAAAAATATTGTCTAGCTCAGAGGGTTCTTGAGAGTAGTGATGAATTACTGTATATAAAGCACTTAGCACCATACCTGGTACCTTAATATGTGCTCAAATAATTGCCTATTATTATAAGTGCCATTATTATCAGAAAATTAAAACTCAGATTTGAATAGAAAGCTAGTTAAACATTACCTGCACAGTTTTCCTTGGGATCTCCACAGAGGAGGCCATTAGTTTCAGGACTTCCGGTGGAATTCCCATCTGCCACCACACAGTGGAGGATCACTAGACCTTCAAGTTCAAAACAAAACCAAAACCAAACATGAAAATTGGCTTATTGTGAAACAGTCTATCAAAGTCTGTTAAAGTCTATCAAAGTCCTATTTATGAAAATAGCCAGCCTATGGTTTCCATTTCCAAGTCATTAACTCCCAGGAAGGCATACAGAGGCCAGCATGCTGCACATTTTCAACTCATTGCTAAAGACAGAATTTTCAAGCCAGCATCACTTAAATCTAACTATAGATCTTAAGGGAGGAAACTATGGCTTATGATAGAGCCTTACAACAAAAGCAGAAGTAAGAGCAACTGAATTCCCAGTCCCTGAATGAATATACTGATGAATTTCGACGGAGAGTGATTGGTGAACATCCACAGCAAACAAAGTGCCTTCTCCATTCCACACAGAGCCAGCATTTCTCAGGTGTTAACAACTGAGTGTGCTTCTTTCTGGGGAGATATTTGATCCATGGGAATTATTTATAAATTTTAGGTTCCTCCAGTTAAGAATCTCTGTCTCTGAGGATACGCCACATGTTTTGCAAGGGAGAGAAGAATGCCATGCTATGGTTAGAATGGTTCAGAATACAATGTGCAGTCCTTGTGTAGATACTGATTTAAACACACCAACCATAAAAGGTCACTTCTAAGATAATCAGAGAAATTTGACGCTGACTGGACACTAGTTAATATTAAAAAATTGTTATAGCTTTTTTAAAGTATGATAATAATATTATGGCTTAGGTTAAAAAATAGGGTCTATATATATATATTGTGTGTGTGTGTATTCATATATATATATATATGGATAAAATTGATGTATCTGAGGTTTGCTTTAAAATAATTCAACGTGAGAAAGAGGAACAAAGTAGTGATTAAAAAAAGGCATGGATGAAATAAGGTTGGCCATATATTGATAGTTGCTGAAGCTGATGGTGGGTATATCAAGGTTCATTATGTTGTCCTCTCTAGTTTGTGTATGTTTAAACATGTCTATAGTAATAGGAAGAAAGAATAGAAAAAGAAAGAAGAAAGGAGGGAGGAAAGTGAAGGAAAAGAAAGATGGCTTAGGAATTAGCTGGTCTTGAGTTCAAGGGCCGTTCTTTTCATATAAGTACATAAAACACTTAACACGGTTCTGCCATTTAATCAATGTACAATAAAAATCACTATACAACTGACAAGAATAAAATAACCTGTCCACCAGTTTTATTGAGATTTATATATCGAATGATTTCTAAATTTATGGATGTTCTCCAGTTCAATTAAGTTCAGCAAACATTCATGGATATCCAGGAACACACAGGTGGATAGGATGTACTAGACCCTTAAGTTGCCCCAAGTGTAGAGACAATTAATCAGCCAACCAATTAACCATAAAACAAAGTGCTACTACTGTACCAGAAAGCAACAGTGGTAGCAAGTTCAAAGGTCAAAGGAGTTTTCAAAAGGGATATTTCAAAGAGAGACCCTTTTTCACCTAATTGGAAAAGTTTTTTTAAAGAAAGAAATTGTACCTAGCATGGATAACAGTGAAGAGAAATGGAAACTCAAATCCATTGGTGAAGGGCAAATTAGTACTGCTTTTCTCGAGGACAATTTAGCACTATACAAAACATAAAAGCAAACACACACACACAATGTATAAGTCTTAAATCCAGTAATTACATTGCTAATGGTTTTTCCTAAGGAAATAATTCAGGATAAATATAGATATTTAGCTACAAAATGGCATGGGTTTAAAAAATATGTAGATTACCTAAATAACTGACCATAGAGAACAGATTAAATACAATGAACTATCCTCATGCAAAAAAACACTATTTATCCACTAAAAGATGATATTCAAACATGAATAGGATATTTTAATATGTTCCTAAATAAAGCAGACTACAGAAAACTAATATAGCATGATCTGCATGTGGGAGTATGTACTTATCTGTTTGTGTATGTGTGTGTAAGTGTGATAAGTGTAAAAACCTATCCATAGAGTCAAAATGTGAATAAGTAAATAGAGAGTTGCTCACACTGGTTAGGAGGCAACATTTTGCTTTATTTTTCCTATTTGTGCTTTGTAAAAGCACATTTTATCTGCTGCAACAAGAAAAACAGAAGTGACTCGTGTATTTCTTTTTTAAATTGCAATTAGGCTACCAAATTTCTCCCAGCACCTGCCCTTTCATTCACACTCAAAATAAACAGAAACAATCACTTAGGGCTTCTGAAGCACAAGAATTTTATATTACTCATATTTGTATTCTGGCGCCTAATACAGAATTTAATGGACATTCAATGACTGTTGAAAGACTGAATGAATCAATCTATAAACGAACAAGGAAAAACTCTTTATATTCAAAAATCTCAGGAGCAATTGCTAGTGAAAAATAATAAAATACATTTAATTTATTTCTAAAATCCCATCTATAGACTTTCTTCAAGGGAAGTAACAGGCCTTAATCTCTTCTAATGGCAGGAACTGAAAAAAAAAAGGGAAAACAATTTCTAAATCTCATAGAGAGTCCACATCTGCAACCTGAGGATGGCAGAATCTCCTTCTGCGGGTTATTGTAAAACTTAAGTTTGTTTTTAAAAAGAGCATATGGCTTGGCACATACTATACAATTTGCAGTCTAGCTGCACTTCTTCTCACTATCACTTATAACTAAACCTGTTATCCTCCAATTCCACTCACAGAGGGAGTTCTGATCCCTTTTAAACATTGCTGAGGCCTTCAAACATCCCCACAGGCTGGGGGCTATGGCCCAGGCTCCTTCTGCTAAGGCTCATTTCACATGCTGGTGTCAGTTGGCAACAGGAGGCTACTGTCCTCACAGGTGGAGGCAGAGCACTGGGGAGGAGGTATTCTCAGCCCCGCCAGCTCTCAAACCAAGCAGAGCATGCACTGCTCCTTTTCCTGCCCACCCCAGCAACCTAGAGGTCACAGGTAAATGGCTGTGAACCAAAGCGAGCCTGAAGAACCATTTGCTTGTCCTGCACAGTTTTTAATAATTGGATCGAGGCAGTTCATATTAAACCTGAATTTTCTTCTTCTATTCAAATAGCAGAAGGTCTGGCAAGACAGATCTAAAATGCTTTCCTAGCAACAACTGGCTGGAACTAAGAAGCAGGTGACCCTTTAAGTGCCCCAGACCCCCTGAGGCTACCTGTACTTATTTATTTTAAGTACTCAGGCTGTAAAATGTATTTCAGTTTGTGATATGTAAAAAGAGACTCAGAAATCAGAGAAATTCTCATAAAAACATCTACTAAATAATGCTGCTATAAAGAGAAAGGACACTCCTGTTCGTTCATAATTCAATGAATATTTATTAAGCACTATGTGTTTGACACTGGTGCTAGACTCAAGACACTGAAGGTTCTGAGATAACAGACACAGGTATTATCACTAACCTCAAGGAGCTCAATTCTGGTAAGATAAACCCACACTTTTTTGTTGTTGTTTGTTTGTTTGTTTGAGACAGATTCTTACTCTGTTGCCCATACTAGAGGGCAGTGGCATGATGTCAGCTCACTGCCCTCTTTGCCTCCTGGGTTCAAGCGATGCTCATGTCTCAGCCACTCAAGTAGCTGGGATTACAGGTGCCTACTACCATGCCCAGCTAATTTTGTGTTTTTAGTAGAGACGGGGTTTCACTGTGTTGACCAGGCTGGTCTTGAACTCTTGACCTCAAGTGATCCACCCACCTGGGCCTCCCAAAGTGCTAAGATTACAGGTGTGAGCCACCAAGTCCAGCCTGACACACAGATCTTTAAGGTACAGGATAATATGTACAACAACAATGATAACACAGAAGTAATAGGATGGAAAATCAACTCTGCTTAGTGGCAAAGATTTCATGGAGAAATTGAGATTTACCGTGAGTTCTTAATGAGGAATAAATGATTTTTAAAAACATCGGTTAATAACTTTTACAAAAAACAAAATATGTGTAAGATCATCATAATGTGTTAATTGTTTCAGCAGTGGATAATATTTATGTGGTCATAATAATATTGATGATTTAACAAAAAATTTTCATAAACTCAGGGCTGGTAATTAGCTCACATATACCACATGGGAAAATTGGTCAAGACTAATCAGTGTGTGCTGTGACAGTTCTTAAATGTTTTGACTATCAGTCCTGGAATTATGAGAGAAGATAAACTCAGCAGATAAATCGAAACCTGACAAGTCAAGAAGTAGCATTATAAGGAAATATTTGCAGTACAGGTAAACAGTTGAATACTAGAAGAAACATCATAAAGAGTCAAAAGTGGTTAGCAGAGAGACAGAAGAGTATGTTGCAAAGATCTGCTATTTATTTTTATAAGCCTCTTAGTACTATCTAATTTTTTAAATAAAAAATCTATGCATATTTATCACTTTATTAAAAATATAACTAATTTTTAAGAAAAGGTTAAATAAAGTTGTAGTTTACCAGGGCATTCTAAAAAAAAAAAAAAAAAAAACAGAGGAACAACTTGTAATAAGAAAAAGGAATAACTTGTTAGAAGACATGGCAGGGAACAGCACAACTTGTCCAGCCTGTTTGGAGGGTGAGTGGGGTGCGGACTGTGATAGATGAGGAGGCTGGCAAACAAGTAGGCAACAAAAGGCCTACATGCCATGTTAGTTGGGATTCTGTTATGCAGCTAAGTTGAGACCACTGAAAAGTTTTAACTGAGAAGCAACATAATCATCTTTTTTTTTTTCCATTTTGAAAAAGCTACTGTAATATCAGCATGGGTGATTCAGATACACCTAAACCAAGAGGGTAGCACTGGGTATGCAGAAAAAGAAAGGCTTATAAGGGATAGCCACAAATAAAATATGAAAGACCTGGTGACTGAGATAGTGTAGGAAGTGAAAAAAGGAGTCTGGGATGACCCCAGAGTTTGCCGCTCAGATAACTGACTGGGTTGTGGTACCAATCACAAAGATATAAGGTATACAGAAGAGAAACAGTATGGGCATAGAGAAAAATTCAGTTTGGGTCACTGAGTCTGAGGTG